CATCTGTTTGTGGACATTTGGGTTGGTTCCATGTCTTAGTGATTGTGAATAATGCTGCAATAAACATTGATGTGCAAGCGCTTTTCTGATGGAGCATTCTCCTGTCCTTTGGATAGTTACCGGAAGTGGGATTGCTGGATCAAATGGTAGGTCTATTTGCAGATCTTTGAGGAACCTCCATATTGTTCTCCTCAGTGGCTGAACCAGTTTACATTCCCACCAACAGTGTAGGAGTGTTCCCCTTTCACCACATCCCCACCAACACTTCTTGTATTTTTAATCTTTGTCATTTTGACAGGGGTTAGGTGGTATTTTATTGCAATCACTGCTCTTAAAGTCTGAATTTTTATTGTTCTATAAAAATAAGAGGGATGTAAAATATAATGCTAAAATTTCTAATTGCCAATACTAAAATATCAGTAATGTAGTACAAAAAATATGAAAACCAAAATTTTTACATAGCTCATGAAAGATAGAGCTGACTGAGCCATGTAATCAACACAAACAGAACAACAACAGCAGAAATCACTTTGAAACACGGCAAACAATGACATCTAGTAACTAACCTCCAGCTTAGGAGAACTTTGCAAGTGATTTTTTAAAAAAGTAATTTGGATTTGTACCTAGAAATTTAAAATTATGTATTTGATTCCTTTTGTGGTAATAACTTCAGTTGATCAGAGGCAGAAAAAAGTGGATACTTAAAAATGATGAAATTAACTTCAAAATTTTTCATATTGCACAGGTTTAATCTTGTTCTCTCACTAACAAATAGTTTCAGGAAATCAATAACAAAATTTACTATCTTTTCCTTCTCTTGCTCTTAAGCCCATTCCCTACAGTTAATACAAGAGAACTTCAAAAAGCTCGTGGAAAAATGGAATCAAAGTACGAATTTATTTGGAGTCAAAATTTTTAAAAATCTATGCATTATTCTTTCATAATAAACATTCTCCTTGAACTTTTTCAGGACCCCCTCAGATGTATAAAACTAGCCCTGGGCTATAGTTTGAAGAAGAATTAAGGCATATGCATAATCCCTAAACTGAGTAACAGGTACCCTGATAAATTAGAGTTTGTTTACTTCTTTATGTCTGGAAAACAGTATCCAGAGTGAAGTTCACTTGAGATACTCTTATACAGAAGGGGAGATACATGCAAAGCTAGGCTCCTAAAAGAGAGTTAATGATACACTGAAGCATTTCCAAATTTTCTTAATGGTGTAAGTAGAAACTCTCAGTTTTGCTTTCTCTCAGTTCAAAGCATTGAAGACACAATACGTGCATACACACACACATACACATACCTGCATGTACATACATAGTTACAAAAATTGTTATAATTTTGAGTGGTTAAGTAGGTCTATTTTTGTTATCAAAAATATGAATTTCAACATCTAATATAAAGGCTTTATTTATATATTTTTGAACAGCATTCTCAAACTGGTAAGTATCTATTAACTAATATAAAACAGAAGACCTCTGTTTTCAAAGAAATTATTTGTACTTATTTGACAGCAATGACTATCGTTAAGAACTCAGCATTAAACTTGGGAATTTTCACTCTGGAGTGTTGTAATAACAAAGATTGGCATACACTTGCAAAGAGATTCCAGTTAGAATGGTAATTATTGGTTGACTCATTAGGTTAGAAAAATAGATGCAGTTGGTATCATTTTCTTTCTTTAAGACATAGATACCACCACCTACAGTACATTAAGCTTCATAGAGATATACAGTACTTTATATGCCTTACTCAAACCACGTGTGAGCTATTTTTCAAAAATTAAATATTTTATACATGAGCTTTGGTAAGTGTTTACTTCTCATTTCAAGGAACTTTGGCTTGTAGCAATGGTTGAATAACATTCAAAAATTGTTGCATGGGACCAGCAGTTGGTGTAATGGCTATGTTGCTGGATTCCCATGCAGTTGATCATGATTCTAGTCCCAGACTCATTGGCTTAAACTCATGCTAGGCACATGTGCGTGTGTGCCCAAGATCCTGATAGGAAAATGGAGGAGAAGGGATTGTGGCGTGGCCACCCCCTTGGTGGGTGATTTCTCACTTTCTGTCTCTCTCTGACTTTTCGACTAGATTTCTCACTTTCTGTCTCTCTCTGTCTTTTCGACTAGAGCACATGCTCTATAGCAAAAACCACTCAAAAAAAATTGTTGCAAAAGCACTATATTGACTATCTGCACTGTGAGTAGAAGTTAAAAGTTATGGTCTTTTTAAAATTAAAATATTCTTCAATTCTTTACTTCTCATTTTTGTTAAAATTGAGTAATGTATTAGCTTTGCTTAAAGATGGGGCGACGTCTTTTGTAAAAAAATTTCCTTAATTAGGTTTTCACCATAGGGCACATGCACCTGCTAGAGAGAGACACAGAGATGGAAAGTGAAAAATTATCTCCCATGGGGATAGCCATGCTGCAATTCTTTCTCTTGCATTTTCCTCTCAGGATTTTGGACACACACACACACACACACACACACACACACACACACCTGCCTGGGGTGATTTTAAAGCTACCAGACCAGAATTTGAACTGCATTTGGCCACATGTGAGTCCAGTGCCTTAACCACCATGCCACCTGTAGCTCCAGACAAGAAACCTTATTATTCCATAACAGAGAAAAAGAGAGAGAGAGAGAGAGAGAGAGAGAGAGAGAGAGAGAGAACCCCAACAAAGGCCACATGCCACAATTTATCCCCAGCCAGCCTGGATCATGAATATGTGCACAAGTACCCAGCATGTTCATTGACGTCATAAGAGCTCAAGACTTTTCTCATATGGATCCTGTCGTGTCACCACTATACCAGCACCTGCCCCCCCCCGCCCCCATTCACAATCTTACATTTGGTCCAGGATATGGAACAAAACAGGTCCTGCATAAACTCAAGGATATAGGAGAGAGCAAAACACACAGGGGTTAGCCACACTCTCACCTACTCATCAGTTGTTTAACAGAGAGAAAGGCCCCGCTCCTGTTTCATATCTATCCAACATCCAAGAAAGACCATGCAGGCTTGATTCGACCTCATCTCATTAACTCTAGTATCAATAATTTTTAACCAAGAGATTTTACCTAATGCCACTTGCACTGACTGCCCTACTTTCAATGAAAATTGTAAAATTGTAGCTGCATGCTGTAGTGAATGAAACATTTTTTTTTTAAGCCAGGTGGAATGAAAACTGGGTTTATCTTTTGTACAATTTACCCACTCCTTCAGTAGCATAATGGGGGGATCATCCTGTTCATCTGAATGACAGGGAGAATGAGACCCACCTCACTGAGTTGTTCATGTCAGTGAGATGGAGCACGCACAATGTCTAGAACACGGTAAGTACTCAAGGATAATTAGTTTCTCTTTTCCCTCACCTCTTGAATTTACATGTTTTTATGCAAGATGTTGGGGCCCTCATCTGAGGTATGATTGCTTCCCTATGTTATAAATATAGAAATTAAATGAAAGATATTAGAACAAATAAAGAAGTACTATCTGGGATGCCTCTGCTTCATCCCTTTGATAAGATGTTTTGAAAATCATTCCGGGCCATTTGAGAAATCAAGGTTGACTGGGAATATTGAATTTGTACACACTGTAACTATTATTCTTGCCCCTCTACAACCCCTAAGGCAATGCCAGAAACAGTGTCTTAACATCTAAATAGTGAGATGGAGCTAGCACACATTGTGATCATGGCTCCTGGTGGTTTGCAGCCCTGTGAATGACAGCTGATTGAATGTCAGCAAGCAGAATTGAGCAAATTGGATGCTGATGACAAAACATGGTTGTACCAACAACAGCTGTGTCATCCTACAGGAGGGTAGGGTGAAAACTCTGGGTAACTGATCAAAAGAAAAAGGAATAGGGCAAACTAACAGACTCTGAAGCACTTAGAAGGCTTGGAATTTAGTGTGTGTGTGTTGTTGTTGTTGTTTTTTAAATCAAATACATTTTATTAAATGTCAAGACTACTCTTGTGTTCAAAGTGAGAAGATACACAAATATTTTTAAAGAAAAGGCAATACTTAAGCCAAGTCAGGAAAAATTTGAAGCCCTCAGTGACATAGCCTCCCATTAAAGAATTCAGGGCTGATCCAGCAGATGGCATAGGAATTAAGGTGTCAGACTCTCACAGGGCTGATGCAGTTTGAGTCTGGACCCAATGACTTGAAAATCATACTGGGCACATGTGCATGTGTGCCCAAAATCTGAGAGGAGACTGCAGGAGAAGGGATTGCCATATGGCTATTCACCATGGAGAGTGCTTTATCACTTTTCCTCTCTGTGTCTCTCTCTGTCTTTCTCTGGCGAGGGTATGTGCCCTATGGCAAAACCTTAAAAAAAATGAAAAGAAGAACCCAGGACTGATTAGGAGACTCTATTGTGTCCCATCCCAGAGGTTCCAAAAGACCTAGTAACACTTATTTGAAAACAAAATTTAGAAGGCAATATAAATTTCCATAGCAGGTTTCATAATTAGTCAGTACTTGGAAAGTGAGACCCATGTAGATTCCCGACTACTGATTAGTTTATTGCATCTCACAGTAATTGAATAGATGGTAAGGTAACTTTCAAAATTCTACCCAAGGACAAATACGTCTGAAAACAATCCTTTGGTATACTGACAATATTGAATCAAATGTAGCGTTATATTTGGTCATTGGGAAAGTCGTGACATATTTTTCTATGTTTTTCTATGCAGAAATGCATCATGACTTTCCTCACGACCCAACATAATAAGCACAGAGGGCAAAATCAGAAAAGTATCCACTGAGTAGTTTCTTTTGAGAAAATCTTTCAACTTCCTTCTAGTATACCCCAAAGTAAGTACATTCATAGCATAATTAATCTTTTTCTAGGTATCGATGACTTTTTTTTATGAAAACTGTTTTTGGATCAAAAGAGAACATGTATATAGGTGGGGGAAAAACCTTTCAAAAATTTTGAGTTGCATAAAGAATTACACGAGGCACCAAGCATGGTGGGTTTGGTCCGAACTCATACAGCCCTTTGGCAACTGACTTGTGCTTTCCCCCCAATAAGGCTTTGCTCTGAAAAGAATGATCTCATTTTCTAGTCCTTCTCTATTCGCAATTGTCAGTTATTTGAATAAAACATCTTATACATGTCACAAATGTACGAAGCAGTTCTCTTTCCCATTAGTTATAGCTCTGCTTTTGTATAATTAAAGTTAAAATTAAATGTTAAGGAGGAAGTCAGAACTAAAGATGACTGGTTTCTCCAGTATCTCAACTGAACAATGGTCCAAAAGAATATTAGCATGAATACATCATGGCTATCCTCCAGAGACCAAACCCTAGCTTAGAGGGTTGTGTATCCCTTTGTAAGGAGTGATGTGGTGGAGATTTGTTTAGGCCAGTAGTCTGAGGCAGTCGAGTATGCCTAGTCTCTGAGATTTTAATTCTGCTTTTGATTCTTATTTATTTATTTATTTATTTATTTATTTATTTATTTATTTATTTAACTGGCCTGGGATTCTTAGACAAGTAGTTTGTCTTCTGTGCATCAGATTTCTTAACAAATGAATGTTAAGGATATCCTGATTTCTCAGATCTCTTGGTACATCTCAGTATTGTTGTACTTAAGAATAGAAGCTCAAAGAGCAGCAGATGGCATAATGACTACATTGCTGGACTCCTACGTAGTCAACCGGTATTAGAGTCCCAGACCCGAGGGCTTAAAACTCACACTGGGAATGTGTGCCCAAATCCTGAGAAGAGAATGAGGACAAGGGCTTGCAGCATGACCCCCAGCCCCGCCGCCCCCCCACGCCCCACCCTGGGGGGTAATTTCTTACTTTCCATCTCTATTTCTCTCTGTCTCATCAGCAAGTACATATGCCTTATAGCAAAAATCTCTCTAAAAAAAAGGAATAGAGGTTCACTTTGGATCAAATAAATTTGAACTTTCCCTTAAACTGTAGCGTTACCATGGGTCTACGCCAAGGCTTTTACTTTTCTTTCCCCATAAATGTACCAGACTTCCTTTCTTCTTTATCAAGTCTAAAATGATCTTAACTCTTTTTCTAAAAATTCTTTAGCTCACTCCCTTCCCCTTTTATTGTATTTCAATTACTTTACTTATACTTTGAAATCTTTTTGACTTTTTTTTTTTCAGCATACTTCATCCCTGTGAATGCTGCTTAATCTAAATTACTGGGTCATCGGGAAAGTCATGACACATCTTTGCATAGGAAAACACGTCATGACTTTCCTTGTCAGTATTTTATTATTTTCATACACATGAAATTGACTATGTTTCAATGCTCTGCTTCTGGTTTATTTGTCTCAGCTTTTCTCATTTGGTCCATTATTAGTATGTGTTTAATGATTAAATTGTTTTTGGTTACTACAATGTGATGTGATCCTCTCTCTTTTTCTGTTACTTTTTTTAAAATGTCCACATACATCTAGAAAGTAAGCAATATGATCAACTTTTATTTTAGTAGTGTAGCTTCAATAGCACACAATATGCTAAAACAATGTTTATGCCTAGAATTAAATAAGCAGTTGAAGGCCTATTTTTCCTTACTCAGATTTTTTTTTTCACTGACTCAGACTGGGAAAAAAAAGAATTCCATGATACTCTACATCAAAACCCTGCCATTGAATAGGTTTATCAATAGCAGATTGATATTATTTCAAACTGTTAGGCAAATATCCATGTAGTCTGGAGGGATTTTTCTAGGGTTATAGCTGTGTGCATCTGTTTGAGTTCTTCCAGCCATGGGAACCTAAGCAGTTTTCATTTGAGAACAAAAGAGCTAATAAAGGACCAAATTCTCATACCTACCTGTGGGCCAAGAAAGCTCTTTATCAACAAATACACCATTATGACTATCATGTACTTCCCCAAATACTTCTTATCTTCATTTCTGGTCCCCTACGAGCTTGCCGGGGGAAACTTGCCAGATGAAGTCCAGCACAGGATGGGAAGCAAGCAACTCAATAGGCCACTGAGTGCTGGAGAAGGACTCCAGTCCAACGCTGGACCATTTCCCTGAGTTATATTTTGCTATTCCAAATACTGTGATTTTTGAAAATCTTTCATTCCAATTCTAAAATTAAAATTGAAACTACCACTGAGAAATACAGTCACCCAGTTCACTGTTATTATCACAGTATCTAATGAGTTTACTAGATAAAAACATTAGTTCTCCTTCAGATTTCATAATATTTTTCAAATTTCCACTTTTGATAAGGCTTCATTGAGTCACACGCAGCTATTTTCAGGGACTTCTGAGAAAAATTTCCTTCCAAGCATAACAACTGAGGATGGTTCTCAAAAACAATGTGATTCACCTAGAGAGAAGGATAATAAGGGAATGAGCCACAGACTGACTTACACAAGTGAAATAGAAAAAGTGGAAACCAGTAAAAAACATGAACAATAATATTTTTGATTTTCTAAGAATTCTCCAGAACAAAATTAATAGCATAAACACAGTCTTTGGGAGTATTAAGTTGATGAATATGGCAGAACAAGGCTGTTCAGATAAATGTTAAAAACAAGACCTCTGGAAAATTATTTTCTGATCTAGTAGCATCTGCTAATTTCTGTGGTGAAAATACATACTCCTGTCATGGCTGGTTTCAATCTGCCAATGTGATATCACTGAATGAAAAGCTGGCAAGAGATGCATACAATCAGCTTCTATAAACTAGCGAGAACTATCCAGCACATCCCTGAGAACCCAGATCTCTTGAAACCATAGGGTAGGAGAACGTGTCTCCTTACATGGTGCTTTGGTTGGAATAAGTCTCCCCCAAATTCATGTGTTAACATTTGGTGAGCCATTGTAACGATGTTGAGAGGGTAGTGAGGTAATTCAGTTATGGTTAACAGATAGGGCCTTGGGGAAGTGATTAGGTGAGAAGTTGGGGCACCCAGGATTGAGTCCTGGTGAGTTAATAAGGAGAGAGAACGAGACAGAGATGAGCTCTGCTGTGCTCAAACTCCTGCCCTCCACAATCCTCTCCAGAAAGATCATTCACCATATGTGGACCCTGAACCTTGGAACTCCAAACTATGAGCTAAATAAACCTCTGTTTTTATAAATTATCCAGACTGTTATTAGCAACAGAATAAACTAGAAACAAGGGAAAGGGAGCAGAAGGGAAAATCAGATTCATTCTCAAGTGCAGGACTGGGAAGAGGCATGTGGCTTCTTGTTTTTTCCTATACTCCCCCTAAAAGGCTTCTGCTCTCCAATGAGAACCAGTTCTGGCCTGTAGGACTTACTTTTGGCATTGCTGCATGACTGAAGCAAATGTTCTTTAGAAACGAAGATGATAGTAATATGAACATGAGATCCAGATGATTTCTATTCCGTAGAATGGGTTTAAAATACATTTTGTAAAAAATAAAAAAGGACTTGAAAAATTACCAAAAAAATTTATTTATTTCCCTGGGTGAACTTTTACACTGCCTCTATTGTCACAAACACATTTAAATCGTCTGATTGAGGAAGCTGACAATGAGGGTTTTATGTGCCATTTGACTGAAAGTTGAATTTGTGGTAAAAAAAGAGGTACAAATATTTTGCTTACCAGATCTGGACGAAAGACTGATGTTGATTTATGCAACCATTTCAGTCCTTTGTTTCTGTTATCACAAGGGTGCAACCTTAGGACTCCCTTATCGGGGATGGGAGCTAAGCACCATTCTCCATGTTTAATGAGTCTTAACCACGTGTAATTAAATTGCTGAAACTGCAAGGAAATACATAAGATGAAGGCCATTTCAGGCAGCAGCATAGGTAAAGGCTTTGTTGAACATGTTTTGTTAGGAATAGTTAAAAATACAGGCACTTTGATTTGACATTTTATATTCAAATCCTAGCACTACCATTTTCAATTCTGATAGTAAAGGCAGTTTACTTACCTTGTCTCGTGTAATTTTTTCTCATTTTTAAGTTAGATAGCAATAGTATCTGTCTCAGAGGATTGGGTAAGAATTGTGAAGTGTTTAGCATACAGAAAGCCCTCAAGAAATCTTAGTTGCAATAATCAAAATTATTTAGCACGATCAGTATATGTCTGCATATGATTGTCACCTCAGATGTTCTAAATCCCAGATGACCCTGGTGCTTGAAGTACTGGGACACTGAAATCACTACGTGGTTAAGGTCTCGAGCTATGAATAGTTACGGGGGATCTCAACCACAACCCTAAATTTCTTTACTGGAAATCATCATGCTCCCTTGTTTAAGACAATCTAGATAATTGACTCCCACAGGCTACGCCCAGTTGTAGGAAGGTCCAAGTCTTTCCTTCCCTGTGCTAAGGATCCCTCAGGTCATTGCCTTGTAAGCACCTTTTGCTTCATAGAAACTGCTCTTGAGAAGTCTTACTCCAGGGGTCACCCATATCCAAAATAAATACTGATTTGGTTCATGTAAATATGTTTTCAACCCTTGAAAAGAGTTTTTCCAGTTGTTTAGAACATAGTCTTATTTGCCTGGTCTAGTGACTCGAAGCCTCTTAAATCTGGGAAATTGGCTGTTTTGTGCTGATACAAACATGCTAGGAAACAAATAGGTTGTTGGTGAAATCTATCTACATGTTTTTACCTAGTGAGTCATTTGTAATGTAACTGAGATTGAATTTAGATTATCAAGTTAAATTGAAGTCCTTGCATTGGACCTTGTCTTTCAAAGCTTAGTCCCTGGACCAAATAGCATCAGCAGG